ACTTGGCGTGAGCAGAATCCCAGCGCTGCCACCAGTTGTTACGAGCCGCGTCGGTGGCTGCAGCGGACCCAGTAGGTAGCATGGAGCTGGGTGGTGGTCGTCATTCCGCAGGCCACGGGGACGTTCAGAACCCTCGAGAGCTGAGGCAGAGGGACAGGCGTAAAGGAAAACTTAACAAGACGTTTATTTGCAACATGTTGGACAGTAACGTCCGAACGACGACTCTTCTCGCGACACTCTCCTGTTTTCTTCTGGCGGGCTGCTGTCTTTGCCTCGCCGTGCAGTTCCGAATATATAGGCGGAATGTCTCTTCGGGGAACCAACCACTAATCGTGAGCACAACACAAGTGTCCCTTCACACACGTGGCAGGTGCACGTGGCACACGCGCGGGGACTCGGAAGCGACCACGCAGGAGAAATTCACGGCAGTCCCTACTGTAGCACACAACCGGCCTTCCGCACATTCCAGAGGGGCCCGCCCGTAGCCACTGCCCCGCAGGCAAAGCGCACCGCCGAGACAAACAGAGCCGGTGCAGGTGACGACCCGCCCCCACACAGAATGCCCGAGATGACGGGAAGGCACGCTTGGGGGCATCCGGCCCAAAGACTTCGTTACTGCTTTGTAACAGTGGGTGCAGCTGATAAGTTGAGACCGGATTATAGGCAGATGCCTATTTTGTTTCTAGCATTTTTGTCGTGCTACTTTGATATATGAGCACGGGTCAGAGGTTAAGAAGGGCTTTGATACTGTTCTTATAGTGCCTATAACCGTTTATTTTTGACGTTTGTGCCTTAATTTTTATAAGTATCTATAAATGCTTATTTTCAATATTGATGTTTATATGAACGCAATTGAACATCATATTTTACTTTCGGGTACAGTTGGAGACCCATATTCATGTTACAAGGCGAAATTGGGCTTTTAGAACTCCATGGATGCAACCTGTTGTCCATCTCAGAAGTTCTTTTCACTATTGTCAAGGCTAAAAAACCCCTTAGCCAATAGGACGGCTGATTAGCCTCTACACATGTATTTATTTGTGTAGCGTCGTCTGCTCGATATCTCCCCAGCGTCTGCTTGCACGTGTATGAAACAGGAGGTGCTTCTGTGCAGCCGCAAGGACGATGAAGAACAAATGTGAAACTGTTGAGTGCCATCACAGGAAAGTAGAGTGTAGGTAAAAGAAAGACCAGATGTCTATGTGGTTTTTGTTTCGTTTGTCATGTGCTTCTTAAAGGGCGCTTCACCAGGTCACATGAGAAATTTTAGTTAGACACTGGAAGTTGTTGCGTGCCACAGATTTGTACCACAGAAATTTTTTTAATAGGTTCATTAGGAGCTGCGAAAGCATGATACCAGAAGGTGAGCTTGAAACTTTTACCACTTGCCTGGTGTAGATTTCGCAAACCTACACCAGGCAAGTGTAGACCCTTCCCTGTCCTCTTCAGTATAAAAGCAACTCAAAGCCAAAAGAACACACAACGCAGACGCATCAACACTCCATGCGCATGCAAGGTTATATTTTCATGGTATGACCAAGTCGTTTCGGCGTTCTCTGTGTTGTATTTACTGCCCGTTTTGGTGGGATGAATTTCTCCATGCATGCACATTTGGAGAAGCTGGCATGGTTCATGTATCCTTACCACGATACATAGTGTCGCTCTGCTGGAACTGTATAAGGAACTGTATAACGATGTGCTAAAAGCACGCCAAGCATTGTCAGGGCTGGTACGCTGCACAATGCGAGAATAACTAAGGTAGACTTAATTCATACGGATAAGTTTATGTTAGGTTTGTGATTGTGGGGGTAATACCGTATTTACTCGATTCTACCGCGCCCTCGATTGTAACGCGCACCCGATTTCCACGACGAAAAAAAAAGTAAGACATTATTTGCAACATGCACCCATTTTTCTTGCTGGCCCGCATGATCACACCACTCGAAAAAACAACTCCTTTCGGGAGCGTCTTCCATTTAAATATGAGGTACGGGGGAAGCTTGTGCCCATCTGACGTGTAACAGAGCATTGCCGTCACTGTAGTTTTACCGTGGACTGATGTCAGCACGTGAACTTCCTTCGCCCCCTTTTTCTTGACGGTTGTGGTGCCAGGCATGTCGAAGTAAAGAGGCGTCTGATCGGCATTCCCGATTTGCCCAAGCAGGTAGTTGTTGTTGTGCCGCAAGTTTAGGACGAACCTCTGAAAACTGTGAAGCTTTTCATCGTACTCCTCCGCAAAACTTTTCGCATATGCCCGTTCACCTTCGAAGGGAAAAGCCTTTCCTCTTCATAAAGTTGGTTAGCCAGCACCTGTTCGCTTTAAACTGGCTCCGCGTTAGACCTTTTTCTAAGGCTAATTGCATTGCCCGCACTTGGAGCCTGCACTTCTGTCGTCACAGGCTGCTGTGCCGCTCGCTGCTCAAGCACATACTCGCCGAGCAGTTCTTCAATTTGTGGAAACCGACCCTGCTGTGGTCCACTGAAGCATTTTCGTGAAGCTTTGCTGTCGACAATCTTCTGCTTTTGTTTCCGCCAGTCCCGCACGCACGTTTTGGGAACTCCGAACGACTGCGATGCGGCCCGATTTCCGTCCGTTTCTGCACACGCGATGACCTTTCTTTTAAAAGCGGCATCGTGGTGCACTCGAATTTTTGGAGTCGGCCCTTCCATGCCGTCAATGCTAAAGCACTACAAGATGACTAACTCCTCAGCACACGTACAAAGTGCTGTACATGGGAAACACATAGGCAGAAATGGCCGACGCGCGATGCCGACGCACGTTGGGGGCGGCCATTTTGGAAATGCCGATGGCAATAGAATGACCGTATTCTTTTTTTTTTTTTCATACTCGATTCTAAAGCGCATGCGATTTATGAATTCGCTTAACCAGAAAAAAGGTGCGCGTTAGATTCGAGTCATTACGGTACTTTCGCATCTCGCTCGATACGAAGCTAAAAAGATAATGAACACAGGTTTCGTTTGTATGTTTTAATATTTTTGTCAACCTTCATACTTGTATTCAAGCAACAGATTGAGCGAATTACACACGTCGCCTCGAATAATGCTCGCAGCATTGCGTACTACTTTGACATACACAGGACCATTCCTTGTTGTATACATCACCTCTGCCAGGTTGGGGCACGCGCATTTCAGGGGGGTAAGCGGCATTCAGTCTGACAGTTCACCTCTTTCCGGGATGCATAGTGTTACAAATCTGGGCAGACGTGATCGTGAGCTCCCAGTGCATGCATTTGCATGCATGCTCAAATCTGGTGATGGGCCCTTTAAGTTGTTAACAGGCAGAGTAAAAATTCACCTTGTGCGATTAGACACAATTAATACGAGGCTAAAAGACCCTCTGGCCTATTGGCAGTCTGGCTGTTTGCTCCTGTGCTGGTCTTCTCAGCTATGCCAAAAAGAAAGACCCAGGAGCGTGTTTATTCCACCGTGGACACTTGACTCACTATGCTGGACAATAAAAGGAGAGGCCGTGTTCAGCAAACCCTGCTGGCTATGCTAAACCATTGGAGCCTTTGTACCGTCATGAACTAAAACATCTCTTTTTGCTTTCTTGTCTCACAAGTATTTCTTCGAAAATTTGAATTTCTCTAAAAACTTATTGTGCCTGTAATTATGATTTTGGGGGCCTAAAACTTACTTTTGCCTGCCTATTTGTGGCACCAAAAACTAGATTTTTAGTGCCTATAAATCTGGCCTCTACTAATGAGCAATGGGGCGTGGTAAGCAACAGCGCGGAGGGTTCTTTGTGAGCGCCCGACATTTTACCTTGAGGTTTAAGAGTTTTGCTCTTTCTAATATTTGATAGAATTATTAAAATGAAAAGGTAATGATAATTTAAGTGGACAAAGCCATAAATTGTTTCAAGCGGAACTCAACACTGAGCATCCACTTCATACGCTTTATTGGACAAAGTAATCTGATAGCACTAGTTTGCCATGACGGTAGACTGCTGCTGACTATCGCTTTCATGGTTAATCTAGCACAGGTATACTGATATTAAATGAATTCTTATAGCACTACTGACCGTATGCAATCACACAGTAACGCAGTTGTAAATGCAGATCACTGGCACAAACCGAAATTAATATAGCTTTGCACTCAGTATTGTAGCGATAAACGCAAATAGGCACAAGCTAGCACATTGTATAGATGCAGAAGCAATGGCAAAACAGCTTCACAAAAATGATCCATGATATAGCTCTGCATTGTTATGGCTCTGCATTGTTATGACTATGTGAAAGAGCAGAGCGATTGCCACAACCCTGCTTCGTGGCATGACCACCACTAGAGCGGCGACTACAGGAGCTGCACCTGAGCCCTGTGTGTCGGGGTGTCACCTGAGTTTTTACAAAGGGCAGCTGTGAGAGGCACTGACCATCATAACAGGAAAACGCCCCTACCTTTAAATTTATTGCTTACGTTGCTTATCAATGTAGGTAGAGAATCTTTATTCATGAATATGGGTACGTCAAGAGGGCATTTCGTGTAACATTCTTGAAAAAAATATTCGAGGCAAATCGATAGTGTAAATCAGGTGACTCAGACTTGCCCCATATAGCTGGCTGGAGTCGTGAAACTGTCTCAAAATAAGCTGGGACGACAAAAACATGCATGGTACTGGAACAGCGGTGCAAAAGATAGGACCAAGAAAGAAAAGACTTATATGGCGCTGTACTTGAAACTAATCGAAAGAAAGAATATCGCTTGATAAGCCACAAAACAAGCACGGCTTTAAAAAAAAAAGCGAAGTTTTTTTGGGCAGTGTGCTTTATTTTGCTGGTTGGTGCAAAGTAGTAGATGCAGAATAACATGCCCCTTAAGATGGGATGAAATATTGCCTGTCTGTGTTCTCATCTCGTCCCGTCTTGAAGTAACCACGTGCAGATGTTTATCCCACCGAGTTTCGTTGTAAAACAGATTTTTTCATGCGTTTTAGCTGCACGTAAAGCTTCCTTTCCTTTCCCCGCGTTTAATTCCAGGATCGATGACACTGGTCACCTGCTGAGGCTGTTCTACCACATACATCCACCGGCCGATGGCACTCAAGTGGATGAAAACTCGGAAAACATTGAACTCCTTAAGGTAAGTGAAGTTGCTGCATTGTTGACTCATCGACATCACACCCGAGCTGCACTTGGCGAGCAACTTTGTAACAGTGCTACAGTCGAACATGGATATATCAAACTCGAAGGGGATTGCGAATTAGTTCGATATATGAAAAAAACGATATAAAAAAATAAAGGCCCCGAGAGCTTACTTTTAGCGGATCATCACCTACAATAGGTGCATTCAAAAATGACTGTTGATTCCGCACACACGCCGCAACAGAATGATTTATTTGCGTGAAAAAAATCGCTAATCTTGGCCTGCTTCTTCGTTTTTTAAATGTTGAAGACACTAGTCTTGATCTTATTACAACTTGCAAAATGCGTCGTTACTGCGCTCGTCGTCGTCTTCTTCACCGATTTCCATAAGTTCCGCCGTCTCCAAGCCTGCCTTGCGGAAGCAGTTGACCACTGTGTCGGTCTCATATCTCCAAGAGAGAAAACTTTGCGGATATTTCTGGCCACTCCATCGTCATCCACTGCTGGATGTTCTGGCTGCTGAAATCTTCGCTTCCACCAGAAATGGTTTTGCCAATGATGTTGTAGCGCTGCTTATATCGGTGAAGCCACCCACTGTTGTCGGCGAAGTTGTTTCCCCGAGTACAGCGGCAAAACATTTCGCCTTGGCATCCAGCATTGGGCCATCCACTGGAATGTTCTTCACGCGCACTTCTAAAAACTAGGCATAGAGCGCCTTTTCTAAATTCTCATGAGCAGAAGCGCGCACATGATAGGCCCCCGACGTTTGCTGCTCCGCCACCTTTGCCTTGATATCTGCCTTGTTTTTCAACAAGGTACTCAAGTGCTCCGTGGTGTCCAGAAGTTGCCCACGACGGTCGAACATTTCTTGGCTGCCTCAAAAGGTACGCTGAATAGCCTTCAACTTTGTCGCAATGTCAAGGGTCTTGCGCTTTTTGAGGCTGGCCATAGCTACACGAGAAGTCTACAATTCAAGGGGCCTGCAGCAGCTTTGCACACCACGCATGCAAAAGCGAAATGCTGCACATGCGGTTGTACGTAGGCGAAGCGACAGCTCGAGAGCAACAAAGCGCTCACGAGGCGAAGGCTACCTGCGAGGTCAACAGCAAAAGGCGCGAGCTGTGGTCGGCTGATCAAACCTCTCAAAACATCAACAAAAAAGAAAGGAGGAGGGCGTCTGCTCCTTCATTGCTGCTCTCCGAGCTGAAGCGGAAAAAGCATGAGAGAGAAAAAGAGAAACGGAAAAAAAGGCCGTTCCGCAAGTTGGAGATTGTGGAGCCCAAGCCCCCTTGCCCTTACCTTTTTTCGAGCGTCTCGTGTTTTGGCGAAGGCGGGGTGCCACGCGGCAGTCGTTTGGCGCTGCTGCAAGTTCCAAAAGCGCGCCTTCGAACTAGCGCACGGAGCCACGCTGTCGCGGAGATCGCGGGGGGGGGGGGGGGGGCGTTGGGGGAAGTGCCCATGCGCACCTTCTAGCTCGCGTGGCGTTCGATATATTCGAAGGCGGGTAAAAATACCGTTTGATATAAACGTGTGACTTTCTATACATTTACAATGGAATTTCAAGGGGATAACTTGCGAGTTCGATATACCCGAAAATTCGATACATGTGGGTTCGATATAACTGTTCGACTGTGCAACCAAAGAAGAATCCTGTCCATTTTCTGCTAATTGTTTTTTGCTTTGCCATGGAGCAACAAAGCACGCGCATCAGTTTGTTCTACTGAATAGCACTTGCTTTGGGCACTGAGCATATCATTTTGTATGAAGTAATATGCTTAGCTGCAATGAATGGAGAGAATGTTGTCATAAGGCATTAGCACCTGAATAAGGTAAACTCTCTGCTGACATTTTGCGCAACAGTTTTCCCAAAGTAAAGCGATAAATGGCTGAATGTCGCTCGAGTAGCAACAGTGAAAATTTATTTTATGGGCGGCGATCACGATCGCTGGTCTGCATGTTATCTTGGCAAGCATCAGTTCGGCTTTCAATGCCAAGAGACTACAGTAGACTCCTATTAAACCAAACTCTCCTAAATGAAATCGCTGCTTAAATGGAATAACTGCCCGCAATACGTTTGATTTCGTAGCTTGAATATTATACGCTGGTTTATCTTCAGTAACGAAACTCCTTCTTAAAGGAAACACATTTTCGTGGTCCTTTCAGGTTTCATTTAAAGGAGTCAACTGTATGTCTAAAGAGGAATTCTTCCTGGAGCGGCCATATTTGCATACACCATCGTTTTGTAGGAGTTCCACAACATCAGATCTAAAATAGTTGGATTGTTAGCTTTACTTTCGTATGACAGTACGAATTTTTTACTATCACATTTATTGCATTGCATTCAATTCAACCTGCTGTCATGTTGTCAAAGCTAACCTGCTAATTGCGAAAGCTACGGTCGCGCGAACTCATGGCGCGGGGCAAGACCTCCAAAGATCTGTCATTGTCACCGCAGTCCCAGAGAGCTTTCATGAGCTTCTGAGATCTTCTTGGTAGTTGTGCGTGTGCTCGAGGTAAGCATGGCGCGTGGCAGGGCTCCTATGCTAGAACGTCGTTTGGAATAAACCTGTGTCCACGTAACTCAGCCTCCTGCCTTCTCGCTCGTCCCAGACGACTTCAACGTGGTGTCAGAACAACAGGTGCTACCGGTGGACGTCGGCTTCCAGTCGTCATTTTTGTGAAGGACGCCGCAAGCAAAAAAGCACCGGTCGTGGCATCATATGTCATTCAGCCGCAAGACGCCTTCAACTTTTTGTCGCCGAACGAGTGGCCGAAGTGGAAACAGTGAGCTTCAACGAATTACCAAGTCCCAGATCACTCGCGGACAGCCCGCGGACGCCTTGGCTTGCAGGCGGCTACGTCACATGCACGTGATTAAAAAGTTCCGAGCTAGCCCGAGCGGCCTCGGGCCATTTGCGCGCTTGATGCTGACTGCATCCGCTGTGGCGTCTGCTATGCCAGGCTATGCCATCTGCTCCCTCCATAGCTGTGACACAGGCCACAACGCTGACCCAATTGCAATCTAAACAGCAGTTGGGTAGTGAATTATACCTATTTCTGTTGTGATGCAACTTACTGTAAGTGAACTACTCGAGCGCGTCTGCATCGTAGACTGGCACAGTCATTTTACCGCTGTTTCTCCTAGCGAGTATAACACGTGTTCGCCCGACCTTCGGGAATACGCACATGCTCGACGTGGTTCAGAACACTGATGACAAGAACTGGGTGCGCAAACAATGCCAAATCCAGAAACGTGCGAGAAGCGGACAGAAAAGCAGAGAGAGAGCAAGAGCACATCGAAAATTTCCCGTGTCTAACTTAAGATGGCCGCACAGCATGCGCACCGCGCTGTTGTCTGCCAGCTGCCAGAAAGAAATTGTTCGGGCACTCCCGGGTTGCCCGCATGCCGCTAGGCACGCAAAAAACGAGCATGCGTTCGAGCGATCCCGGACCAGTGGGCGGAGCTTCCAGTTGGTCCCCGAGAAAAACAAATGCGGCGCCGGCGTCCGGGGCCATTCGGAGCCGTCCGGGACGTGTAAATCGATGAAGCTCACTGTTTTGAATGTTTCCGAACCTCTTCAGGTTTGGGGTGTGTGAAGCCTGAGCAACATCAAGTAGATGCCCTACTCTACCGTATTTACTCGCATAATCCTCGCACTTTTTTCGCCAGAAAATCGATGCAAAGTTGGGGGGTGCGAGAATACGCAGGGAAAACTTTTCATGAAAACGTAGAGAGCGAAAAAGAAAACGAAGTGGCCGCAAATCGGGATTCTCACACTATCAACTTACAGCAAGCTTAAGGAAGTACTAATTAGAACTTACCTCAACAATAAAAGCAGAGGTTTAACACAAGGCAAGATTTATTTGAGACTCAAGAAGTGGAAGCAAATAGTCGAGAATTAAAATGCCATACGCGAAGCTTGTGGGTGTTGCGGGCGTAGCAATAGCGGTCAGCGCTCAACAGGAGCCCTCAAAAGGTAAGCGTAGGACGTCAGTATTGGGCTGATAGCTATTTAACAGAATCGTCCGCAGTTTCCTTCCGAAGAAATAAAGTTGACCATCAATCCCAGTTTTTTTAAGCACACGGCAGGCCCAACGCGTATTGGTGGCTTTCAGCTGCCGGCACCAGTAGCGAACACAAAACTCGTAGGCTTCGAAGAACCTACCCGCGGCCCTATTGCCGTTGTTTAGCGCATGATCTATCATTTGCAACTTAGAGCAGCCGTGTGGCTTCAGTATCGCCCTATAACGTGCCAAGATTACCGACACAACATATAAAACACGCCGCAACGCACACTGGCCACTTTGGCTTGGCTTGGATTGGATTTAATATTTGTGCACTAATGCGCTTGATGCTTAAGAGATGGCGCAAGATGGTGCGCGCTATCATCATCAATGCCTGGAACGAGCTGACGACACTATTGCGGCAGTTTTTGGGGGTGCGATAATTACTCGAGGAAGAAAAAAATCTTATTTTTTCTTGGGCGATGTTGGGGGTGCGAGAATTATGTGAGTGCGAGAATTACGCTAGTAAATACGGTGCGTTATGGGTGAGCTTCTGAGGAAATCTACACCATCTTTGCATTATCTGAAAAGAACACTGAGAAATTCGACGCCGTCGTGGAGTAGTTCGACAAGTATTTCATTCCGCGTTGTAACGTAATCTTCGAACGAGCCAGATTCAACGTCAGACTGCAACAAGACGGTGAGTCGGTCGAAGATTTGGTCACTGCATTTCACACACTTTCGGAAGATTGCGAGTTCGGTGCTCTTCGAGAGGAGTTCGTGCGCGACCGCCTCGTGGTTGGGATAAAAGACAAGCAGGTATTTGCCAGGTTATAGCTCGACGCAGAGCTCACACTACAAAAGGCTCTCGATTCTGTTCGCCAGATCGAGAGTGTCCGTCAGCAACAAGTGGAGCTTCACCATTGTAGGAGAAGATAAAGTTGGAAGTTCAAAGGATGCAGAAACTCGGTGTCATATCACCTGTTGATGAGC